CTCAGCCTCACAGCTAGACTGTGCAACAGATGATGAGCGGGTGGGCCTCCACGAGATGGCGCCTGCACCAAGGCTAAAACAGTAGCCTTGGGAGGACCTGAGCATCTCAACGTCTATTGCACAGTTCCGCTGTGAGGGTGAGATCTACGCTGGTGCCATGGCGGCACAGGAGCTATAGTGGCTGACGTTCTTGCTCACTGACTTGGGTGAGTGGCCTAGGTCTGCCCTGGTCCTGTACGCTGACAACAGGGCCATGATCCTCCTATGTTAGGAGCCTCGACTAGAGGGCAGAGCGAAGCACATCCAGCTGCGGTACTTCCTCCTGCGCGAGCTACAGCAGCGCGGTGAGGCACGCGTAGTACACTTAGCCTCTGGTGCCAACACAGCTGATATCTTTACTAAGGCGATGACACCAGAGGCTAAGTGTACTACACGTGCCTGGCCACACTGCTGTAGCTTGCACATAAGGAAGTACCGCAACTGGATGTGCTTCTCTCTGTTGCTCTTATTGAGCCAGCAAGGCGGGCTAGGGCCTAGCGCGACGGGCTAGGGGCCAGCGTGGAGCGGCGAGCGAAGGTGAGCGCGGCGCGAAGGGCTAGGGCAAGCGCAGCAGGCTGAGCAGGCTGGGGCAGAGTGCTCCATAGTAGGCTAGGGGGGGGCACTCTATGGGTGGCTAGGGCAGAAGTGCGAGTGCGTGGGGCCTACCTAGCTCTGATACCATGTTAGAATGACTAAGTGAATGCTACCATGGACATACATTATGATATATGTGTTTGGGTTGTACTCTCTAAGAGCACGAATGTATCTAGCCTAGAACTAGACATGCGGAACTGGCATAAAGTCACCTGTCCTAACCGGGATTCACGTTTAAAAAAAAAAATACTCTGATTACAACCCCCAAAAAATTTTCCCGAATCAGAAGGGTTTTTTTTTTTTTTTTTTTTTTTTTTTTTCCCGCTACGCTGGAATCCCAGTGTCCAAGAGGCAATGAGTCCGAAATACTCAGGTTTCAGAATGTCGACTCAAAGTCCTTCGCCCAAGTCGAAATCTTTTATTTTCAAAGTTCACACACTACTTGGTAGAGAGCTCGTTGTTTCCTAGCTGGCAAAAAAAATGGGGCCGTAAAACAGGATTTCACATAAGCGACTAGATTGATGGAGCCTGTACCCTCGTGGCCTCTTTTAAAGTCTGACGCGGCTCTAGGTGGGATGGGACCCCAACACCTGCTTTTCTTCACACCAGAGTGTGCAAGTATGATGACGATAGTAAGAAATTTAGCGGGGATTGGTTCATTCTATTAAAGAAACTTTCTCAATGCGAGGGTTATTAACGCATGTATTGCGAGGAGCTTGCGAGGCTCAGCTTGTTGTAACGAGTCGCAAGCAAGACCGACGCTGTACGGCAAAGCACGTCGAAGGTCAATGCGTGTATAGTGGCATGGAGTTCGTCTACGATGGGTCCTTGCAAGTGTGTGATTGGTTGCTGAGGGACTTGTGTCACCCGCTCAGAGGACTTGACAAAAATTTTCAGGGGAAAGGGGTGTGGGAAGAATGTCTCTAGAAATGAAAGACTTAGCCGATTTTTGTGGGTGTTGGGGGTGTGAGAGGGGTGTCTCTAGAACAGGACTTCAACGTTTTTATGGGCTGCTGGTTGTTCTAGGGGGAACTATCTCTAGCTGCTAGGGCTTAGCCGGAATTTATAGGTTGCGGGGCGGGGTGTGTGAAAGGACTTGACTCTGGCTGTTGGGGACTTGGACAAATTTTTCGGATGAGGGCAAGTTGGTGCAGTACCGGTATGTCTGTCTCAGGGTCCGTATGCGTTGCGCTCTGAAAACTCAGCATTCGCATACTGCAAAGTCTGAGATTCTCAGGATTCAAAAGCATATAACTCTGAAGGGTTCAGAATTCAGAAATGGGCAAGTCTGAAAAATCAGGTCCTGCCTTTTGTTGCGTTGTGACTGCAGGTCAAGATCTTGCTGCTCCGCTTGAAGATAAGAAGAAATTTCAGCTTCGGAGAGGTTGGGATTCATGCGCAGGAAGGCGCGCGTCTGTCGCCATTCGGGTCCAAGACCAGCCAGAAGGACCGTGAGATACATCTCACGAGGGAAGTATCCTCCGCTCTTTTCCAGTTGATCGCGTAGTGTACGGACTCGGTTAACGTAGTCCATTACATTTTCGGTTGTCATCATCTGCACACTTGTCAGCTGCGAAAGGATTTTACTCACTGTTATCGTATCTTTTGCCATGTATACCCCTTTCAGATGTTTCCATGCAGTTTCGGCGGGTGTGAAACTCGAGTGAAATGATCGAACGCCAAGCTGCTCCTTCGTTGACAGGTTTCGTACAAGAATTGTATACGCCCCGAGAGAGGCGTGCAAGAAACTCTGCTGCTCCAGTTGTGTTCCCGTAATAGGATAGGTGAATTCTCCGGTGAAGAACGGCCAAAGCCCAGCGGACTGCGCCAGAAGTTCAAACTCAAAGCTCCAGGAGTAGAAGTCAACACCATTAAAAGGTATGGTTGTCTTGATCTGAGTATTGTTAAGTAGATTTGGAGGCTGAAACACAGTGCCTGGCTGTTGCTGTTGTTGCTGTTGTTGTTGTTGCTGTTGCTGAGCTTGCTGTGGTTGCTGATAATGCTGTTGCCATACTTGCTGTAGTTGCTGAGCAGGAGAACGACCGAAGATATAAAAGGGATGCTGAAACTGCTGCGACTGCGGCTGCTGTACGAAAGGTGAGAAGGCAAACGAACCAGTATTTGGAGCTGTAGCTCCACACATGTAACTTGAGCCGTCAAGGCTCATCCCATTGAACGCAGATGAAATTGATTGCGTTGAAACTGGTGGCTGTACTGACGCTTGCTGCTGTGTTGTCGTTTGTGATTGTTGCTGTTGCGTTGCAGGTGCAGTCGATGGAGCACCTGGAGTATTCACAGAAGGCGGATTCTGATGTTGCATACTGATATTGGCGTAGGCTGGTGGAAAGTGCCCAGAGGCTGAGAGACCAGCGGCCGTAGTGGAGGCATGTGCTCCAGTAGTCCCAGTAACTGATCCGGCAGATGGTGCTGGTGATGAACCAGTCATAGTTGACGGTAGTCTTCATTCCAAATAGCTCTCATACCATGAAATAAATCGTCTGGTGTTGTAGAAGACTAGGTATAGAATCTACAAACACGAGTACTTAACCAAGAATCTTTGCTGGAATGGTAGACTAATAAGACAACGGAAGTCTTATCAGAGTGAACCTGAGCACATGAACTTGTGGGTAGTCGAAGCTTGAATAACCTGAGCACATAATTCTGTGGAATGTCAAGGTTAATAATAGAAAGGCATTACAAGGATTTATAGCTCTAGGGAAAGTACCTGTTCGCTAATGTACCTGTTCGTCACTATCGTGCTATGCGACCTATTCGTCATACTATAGGATCGCGACTGTTCGCGTGACTGAAACGACTCGTTACGCCTATTCGCGTAACTGAAGCGGTATGTGACGTCATCTCGAGAACCGCGATGCTTTGCTGACGTCAGCACTAGGACTTGTTTCCTTACCGAGAAACTCTATACTGCGAGCTACACTAAAAACAGAACTTGCAGGAATGCAAAACTTCATTTACCAGAACAGGCTGTATGCGGGCGTGCTGGCCAGCGCTAAGACCGGGCGTTGGCCGCTGCCGTCCGTGCCGTCCGCATGCTGGTGCGTAGACGCTGCCACGGCAGCACGACGGTACCGTCACGGCAGCACGACATGGCCGTGGCGGCGGCGCGGAAAGGACAGGAGGGAGGAGCGGACTTTGCGGATGCTCTGAAACCATGCTAAACAACCTACGAAGAGATGGAAGCCATGGTAAATGGCATGAGGTTTTAGGCTAGGGGAAAATGTCGAGAGAGAAGAGAGTTTGGACTAGAAGAGAGAGGGATACAAGAAGGGGGGTTGTACCCTCTACAGTAGGATCCAGTAAAACCTACCAAGTCTACAATTTTATATACATGTAAATATATATTAATTTAAGTGCTAGTTCATGTTATTCAAGCATTGACTTGCTTGTTAGGTACCGGTAAGGAGATGTAATACTTTAGGAATTGTTTGCAGCCGCAGCTTATCCCCTCCTGGATCATGTACGCCCTAACATATAATGGTGTTGGTATTGATGTTGAGGAAAACGTGTTCTACTATGATGTTGAAATACACGAGGTGCATAAGTGGAAATGTATAATTGTATGTAGTGTGACTTGCAGTTTCATATTTGAAGATTGGTCGTGATAATGAGTGTGCTGGTTGCATTTCGTGGCTTCTATCGAGGTTCGTTGATGCGGGTAGCCGACAAGGGTGCAAATAAGCCAATTGCGGGCGGGACAAACGGGAAATGAACCAAGACAGCTCCTCCTGGTCTCCCGCTCTCTAGCTGACGTGGACCTTGCGACGACGACAAATCCGAGCCTTGTCCCCACCACTTGGAGCTTCAGCGACGTCGCCGGCGCAATCCCTCGCTTGCTTGCAACGGCTGGTTTCCCTTCGGGTTACCCGGTTGGCGGGAGCGGCAAACAGGTTTGGCGAACCGCCACGACCTACAGTTGTCCCCTCCGAACCGCATTCATACAATGAAATGTGAATTTCCCGACCTAGGCGGAAACTATGAAATGAAGTGGATGTCGGTGTTGAAATTGCCCATTGCCCAGCCTTGCCTCTCCCTCGTCCTAACCCAGCTCAACGCAGATGAACCCATTCTAACCTTGAATAAACTAATTAGAACCATCCCAACCCAACCGAACCAATGTTTAGCACATCCCCTGAAGTTCCCTCTGACCTTATCAGCTTGACAATTTTACTAGCTGATATGTCGTATCAACAACAGGTTCACAAGCTCATTTTACCTGACTGTCCCCTTGCTGGTCCTTGCGAGTAGGCCGTGCCACGTGGTACGCGCGGCAAATCGCTGCTTGCAATTCTGCACAGGATCTAGACAAGATAGTCGTCCGAGTTCAATTAAACCCATCCGCCGCCGCCGCACACCTCGCCCCAAAATCACGCAAATTTTTTCGTGATGTTTCCTCGATGGCATCACACCATCGCGTCGGGTCGGGTCCCAAGCCCGCCCGTATCATCCGCCACCGACTCTTTTATTCTTTTATCTTTATCGTTCCTCAGCGGACCCTACCTTTCCGCCGATTCCACCCATCGTTGAGCGCTTATATCCTTCCTCATCAGAGAGTCAGGCATAGCACGAGGTGATCGCACTCGCACTTCCTCATCCCTCCCGCTGCAAGGCTCCTGAGATGGCTTACTAGGAATTTATCTCAACTCAGCCCCTGTGTTGTCGGATCAGCTTCTTCAAGAGGCCGGGCGTGATCAGCTCTTATCAGAACCTTGCTTCGCGGCAAAAGCCAAGCGAGCAGGGCACCGCGATTCCAGTAGTAGTAACACCTCGCAGCGTCATTAACCGCGAACCGCGCACGCGCATCGGCGACCATGCGAAGGCCCTTCTCAACCGCGATCGCGGCGTGCGTGCTCCTTCTCGCGCTCTTCTCGAGTACGTTGTATTCCGCTTGTGAGGTTATACCTCTCAAGTTAGAAGCTACGGATGGCTAGCAATGCTAGCGCAGCTCAGTTGCGGAAAGAACCATCTCGCGCTGCACGACTCACACCATATTTCGCTAACCTCGCCACATAGCATTCTTGTCTCGATCTCATACTTTGCGGACGTGCACACTCGTTTTCCGCAGGATGAAGAATGTCCTTACCTCCGGATTCCTGGATGTAAATTAATCCTTATTTTATGTCATTCCCCCTTCCTCCTCACGTCCATTGCAGGCGTCGCAGATTCCAAGGTAAACAGACTCTAAGGCCCAAAGCCTACTGAGTCAGCAGTCCGATCCCGACCGGACCCTTCTTCTAGGAACGCACGAAATAACGACCTGTTTTGGAGTAACATCGAGGCTTCTGCACTGGCGCGGCGGTTTGAAACCACTCGCTGCGCGCAATGCTCGCAGATGAAACTCTCTGTTCTCAAATTCTGTTCAAAACCGCAAACTCCGATCATCCATTCAACGTGCTTTGCATCGCATAGCATATCATCCTGCTGGAGAAGGATAGCGTCTTCTGCCTAACAGCTTTCTTCCTTTTCCTCCTTTGTCTCTCTCCTGGTTGGGTGAGAACTTTCCATATCTCTCGCTGTGCGCTACCATCAACCGCAGCCGTTGGTGCCAGTGGGGCTGCAAAAAGGGCGGTCCACCTTGAGCCCATGGAGCCTCGGAGTTGACTCGTGGACTCAGCCTGCTGTGAATCCCGGCACCTTTCTCGGTGAGTACGTAGTGACTCGTTACTAGCCGATCAACGCATTGTGTAAGACACTCTGCTACAGAAATTGAGTACCACGTGGGCGGCCCTCTTGGTGAGTGTGGCAGTGGTTTGTTACTAGACGGTCAGAGCATACCTCAAGGCCCTACCGCAGACGATGGTACCAGTGGGGCTGCAAAAAGGGCGCTCCAATTTGAGCCCCTGGAGTTAACGTGTTGAATGTAGACTCCGCCTGTCGTCATGAGTCTCGGCACCTTCCTCGGTGAGCCATGACTCGTACTAGCTAGAAACACGTTAGCACGAATGCGGATATTTTGCATCGTGTGGAATCGAAACTCCTTTGAGAGCAGACCATCCTCATTAGTGAATCACTATGATAATCTCGCACTGGGTTTCCTACGGTCTCATTCCCAGGCTTGATGGCCAAGATGGTGGAATTTCATTAACACGCCCACCCTTAACCCTAAACCAGAAACTCTTAACACTCTGAAAGCACAAAGTAGGAACGTTTTCAAAAGCTTTCGCCAATCCAATACCATATCCATTTTTATCTCTTACCTCCTCCCTCCCTCAGTATTTAGGTGGTCTGACGCGGAGCGCGATGTGCAGCAATTTCCAGATGAAGACAGTTTTGATTCATGCAACTTCTACAGTGCAGATCCATTAGGTCCTCCTAGGAAAGTGGGTATGGATGTGTACCTAGTCAGAAGGGCTGAGAGGGGAAAAACACTGTTTTTTGGGAGCAGAGTAGGAACAGACTGTTACAAGGGCCTCAAGGTGGCCATTCGCGTGAGCTAATCATGCTCTCTTGGCAGGGGAAGGCAGTAAGAACTCAATATAGTACAGGAGGAGGACGGTACACAATATGCTTCTTCAGGGCTCAAAATAGAAGGCATCCATTTGCGGTGCCTGGTTTAGGGGCTGATCAGGGGAGCATTGGCATGGTAAAGACGGCTAATGCCGTAGTGCATAAGAAGTACCGCCGAACTATGCTCCTATGACCAAGTGTGCCACACTTAGCCCATTACCTTAGCTATGGCTGTGTCGATTAATCATAGATGCGCAGTACAATCATTACACTTAATTGTCGCTGGGTACTGCCAGCTTTGATTTGAGGTCACATGATGGCAATTTGTCTTCATGTCGATGCTTGAAGGAGCACAATTCTAGACGTGCCGATTTCTATATACGGTGATTAAGAATTAGAAAAAACTGCTGTATGTTACATGGATTCTGTCGAATCTCAGCCGTTGTTAGACCAACTAGCTTCGCCATCTACATCCCCCAGCACCTCACCCAGCCGCCCCCACCTGCTGCACATCCCGATTTACTGGTACGCTGGTACGCAGCAGCAGCTGGTACCCTTACTGCAGCTTTGTTCTTGGGTTTCGCCTCCGTAAACTCTGCCATAAGCGCCACTGAATTATTTAGGGCAACCATGCCATCGCATCGCTATCGCGTTTTTCTGCGAGCGGGAATCTCGGAGGAGCATAAGGAGGAGGTTTTGCGAAGCTTCTTCGAGAAGTTCGGGACCGTGATCGACGTGTACGTGCCGCGCGATCCGTTCACCGGCGCGCTGAAAGGCATCGCGTTTATATCCTTCGAAGAGGAAGGCGCTGTGAAAGCCGCGGTAAGGGATGGAGTGCTACTTTGTCAAAGTGTTGTTTTGTTTCGAGGCGCCTCGCGATCCGTTCACCGGCCCGCTGAAAGGCTCGCGTGAATATCCTTCGAAGAGGAGGACGTAGTGAAAGCCGCGGTAAGGGGTGGAGGAGGGGTCGGGGGGAAGGGAGGGCAAAAGTGTTGCTCGATCGACGTGTGCAAGCCTCGCGATCCGTTCACCGTCGCGCTGTCGATCTGGAAATTGATGATGCACAGAATCTCGATCAGGATTTGAAGGCGTCCGCCGGTTAGCCGTGCGTTTAGGCGTTTGGCCGTTTAGGCGTTTAGCCGTTTAGGCGTTAAAGGACCGGATTATTATTCAGGCTCACGAATACCTCTCGTCGACCTTTCGTCCTCCAATTCACCTCTAAATCTCTTCGTTTCCCCCCCGTACTGGTGCCTAAAATCAGGTGGAAAACGACTCATACGAGATCTGCGGGGTAACCATTCCCATCACCAAAGCCGAACCTCGAGGACCGGAGCAGTCCACCCGCCGCCGAGCCTATAACGACGACCGACCCTCCCACCGAACCTCCGCGTACCCGCCGTCTTCCCTCGGCCTGGCAGCCGCAGCAGCTGCACCTCGAGGCTCTCTAGGTCCGGCAGGAGGCTCGTTAGCAGGCTTGGAATATTACTCCGCCGTGCCTCTAGTCACATCTGCCGGCTATGGCGGTCTGTCAGCCGGAGCTGGTCTAGGTTCGGGCTATGGAGGGGGGTATATTCTTTCAAACTCCATGGAAGGGTACGGGAGGAGTGGAGGAGGGGGAGGAGGGGGGGGAGGGGGAGGGGGAGGAGGAGGGATGGACGATGAGTTTCGGATCTTTGTGGGCGGAGTGCAGGAGGAGATCAGCGAGCAAGACGTGAAGGACCACTTTGAGCAGTAAGTGCAGTGCTGTTTTGAGGCGCCTCAGAACAGAACGAGACTTGTATCACGCGGGGTGCGGGAGGGGATAAGCGAGCAACGCGTGAAGGACCACGTCCCTCCCCTCCCCCCCCCCCACTCTCCCTCCACCTCTTAGTTGCGGCACAGTAAAATACGTTTACTGCTCCATATGGCGTCCGGCACACGGAGAGGCTTCTGCTACGTGCGCCCCATCTCCTTTGCTGCCGCTGATGCTCCCTATGCTTCCTTTCTCCCTTTCTCCGCACCCCTCTGCACTGCACACATGTACGGCACAGTGGAGTGGAGGTGTATTTCTCCAAGGTAGGGCCTCAGGCGCCCGCAGATTCAACTCCTTTACTGCTGCTCCCTTCCCTCCTGTTTACCCCCTCTGCACACAGGTACGGCACTGTAGAGGGCGTGTAATTTCCCAAGGACTGGGCCTCTGGCGCCCGCAGGGGCTTCTGCTACGTGCGCTTCAACTCGTTTGTTGCTTCCTCTCCTGCTTTCTCTTTCCTCCTAATTCATCCCCCTTCCTCCACCCCGTTCCCGCTCTTCCCCCCCTCCCCCCCCCCCCCCCCTCCCCTCTCGTCTCCCCCACAGGTACGGCACAGTGAAGGACGTCTATTTCCCCAAGGACTGGGCCTCAGCCGCTCGCAGGGGCTTCTGCCACGTGCGCTTCAACTCCTTTGCCGCTCCCCCTCTCCTCCTTTCCATCCCCCCTCCGCTCCCTCCCCCCCACCCCCCACCCCCACCCCCAGGTACGGCACGGTGGAGGACGTGTATTTCCCCAAGGACCGAGCCTCGGGTGCCCGCCGCGGCTTCTGCTACGTGCGCTTCAACTCGTTTGCGGCCGCGGACGCTGCGTGTGCGCGCAGCCAGCGCATGATAAAGAGTACCCCCATCCACGAGATCCGCATGGCGCAGCCGAGGCCGGGGGCCCCTGGCGGAGGGAGGGGAGAGGGGCGGAGAGGGGGAGGGGGGGGAGGAGGTGGAGGAGGTGGGGGAGGAGGAGGAGGTGGGGGGTATGGTGGTGGGTATGGTGGGGGGGGTTATGGTGGAGGTGGTGGTGGTGGGGGTGGGGGTTATGGGGGTGGGTACGGTGGTGGGTATGGGTATAGGGAGGACGGGAGGGAGAGGGAGAGGGAATACGAGAGGGGGGGAGGAGAGGGGCGGAATGGGGATGGCGGGGGGCGGTCGCGGTACCGGCCATATTGAGAAGAAAATGGAAAGACTGACTGAGTGCGTGAAAGGTGAGAGTTGTGTCGTTTGGGTTCTGGTGTTGCGTCTTTGTGCTTGGGTTGGTCCATCTGGGTGCTGGTTCGTTTCGTGCAGCTGCCTGTTGGCGGTGCATGCGCTGTTTGTTTTGTTGGTGGGTCGCTGGTGTTGTCTGCGCTGTTTGTGTTGTTGGCTCGTGGCACCTGTGTTGCCTGCGCTACGCTACTGGTGTCTTGGTGCTCTGTGTCATCCGGCTCTGCCCTTGCGCTGTTCGGCCTGCCTCTCTAAACCCCTTGTTGCGTTGCAATATATCTTGACGTGTTTTTCTTAAGGAGAGGGTGAGGAAGGGGGGAGAGCGGGATGGAAATCTAAAGGGAGAGATTGGGGGATGGAAGGAGGGAGGGAGAGACGGGGTTGGAAGGAGGGAGGGCGTGAAAGAGGGATGTAGAGCTGGGGGAAGAGAGAGAAGGGGGGGAGGAGGGGAGGTATGCAACAAGAGAGGGAGTGATGGAAGGAGAGAGGAGGGAGGCAGGCCAAGTAACGTGAGGGGCAGAGGATTAATCGAGAGAGGTTGTGGCAAATGGAGCCTGTTAGGGAGGGGAGGGAGGCAAGCAGGTAGGCAGGGGGGAGGGATGTAAGAAAGTGGATGGGGAGGCGAAGAGTAAGAGAGTCAGGCACTGATTACTACTGCAGGGCAACCTGTTCATTGCTGCTCTCACTGTTACAGATGCCACAAACGGCACAGGAAGACGGATGATGGCTGCACTGACGGTGTAACAACGGTGTAACGACGGCGTAACGACGGCGAACGGACGTACGGACTTCCCGAAGGAAGGATAAGGGACGGAGGACGGAGGGACGGCTCGACTGGTCGACCTACCGACCGACCGACCGACCGACTGAAACACCGGAGGGCAGAGATTGGCATGGACTGACAGACACATGGTCTGTACTGTTGCGGGCTGAAGCATGCTGACGGGGGCAATGGTGCTTACGGGCAGTGCCTGCCTGGAGTAAGCCTCTGCTGGCTTGGTCACTGTCTTGCCTACCGTGTTGACAGAATGGCCGGCTGATGTCTCCAGCCGATCCTTGCTCTATATCCCCCCTTCCCCTTTCCCCCCTCTCTTCTACCCCCCCTTCCCCGTCGCTCCGCCCCCCCTTCCCCCATTTCCCCCCTTCCCCCTCCCCCTCCCCCTGACCTCCCTTGCCCCATTCGCCCCTCTCCCTCTCTCTCCCTCGTGTCTATTGGCCGCCTCTTTTCTGCCGTCTCTCTTGGTAACCCGAAGGAGTTTCTTTTTTCATTGATGCGTAGTCCCCCCCCATAGCAAAAAACACGCACCCTAGTATGGTAGGTGAAGAGGGTGTCGGGCTTCTCATTTCCAACATAGGGAAGACTCTAAAATGCACTGTAGGCTGAATTGGCATTTAGCTTCAGTGGACCCTACTCATGGCTTCCCTTCCATGTTTGTGTCCGAGGATGTAATGGAGATTCGCGTTGGCTGTTTGTCAATTAGTGCGCGAACACCTGGGGTTCGAGTTGCAGAAAAGAAATGTTTAAATTTCTAATTTTGATAGTTGATGCGGTATCACGTCTGATGTGTCGATGTAGTATAATGGTCAGTATCTCCGCCTGTCACGCGGAAGATCCGGGTTCGATCCCCGGCATCGGCGAAATTTGTGGTGTTAGGTGGGAGCCAGCTAGGTTGTGCAAAACCAATGAACTGGGTGAATTGTTTGGGATGTTTTTTCTCCGTACATAACAAAGAGCGTTTATCAATGGTGAAGTCGAATGCGAGCACTGTACCAAAATCAAATTCATGTAATTTTCCTCAGTGAGCAAAAGCTGTGTAAACGAAGCAAGGTATCGTGGGCACCGAGCTAGTTTCCAGCTTTCCACTGTGTATGTTACAGAACACATGTGGTTAGTGAACTTGAGAGACCAACCAAACTTGAGCCCTTGTTTCGGCAAGAGCAGAAAATGCATGGAAGCTATTTCTGGCATTTTTTTCCCTGGGGTCTGTTCAACAGAGCAATTATGATACGCACTTCACATCTTTCCATACGTGAACTTCTTGGGCAGTTCAATCTTCATATCAAACTCCCCCTTCCCCCGGTTGCCATCATGGCCTTCGAGCTCCAAGAAGGCTGAAAGGATGTTCATGCGGATGGTGAAGCTGAGGGCCTTGTCCTTTGGCAGCGCCTGCACACACACATGGGATGGGTGGGAGCAAGCGGTGCATGAGATGTTAGGTGTGTGAGGGTGCGCAATCGGACAACCTCATGCATTGTAACAAGTCAACTGCACCTCACACTCACCTATCCTGACACAAAAACCACTCAGCTATCCTGACACAACCGCCACTCAGCTATCCTGACACAACTGCCACCCAGTTGCTTTGCCTAGCGCATTCTAGACAGTGGCCTCGTCAACCAGTCCATTCCAAATTGAGACCGTTTCACCTGGCATACATCTGAGACCGTTTCACCTGGCATACATCTGAGACCGTTTCACCTGGCATACATCTGAGACCGTTTCACCTGGCATACATCTGAGACCGTTTCACCTGGCATACATCTGAGACCGTTTCACCTGGCATACATCTGAGACCGTTTCACCTGGCATACATCTGAGACCGTTTCACCTGGCATACATCTGAGACCGTTTCACCTGGCATACATCTGAGACCGTTTCACCTGGCATACATCTGAGACCGTTTCACCTGGCATACATCTGAGACCGTTTCACCTGGCATACATCTGAGACCGTTTCACCTGGCATACATCTGAGACCGTTTCACCTGGCATACATCTGAGACCGTTTCACCTGGCATACATCTGAGACCGTTTCACCTGGCATACATCTGAGACCGTTTCACCTGGCATACATCTGAGACCGTTTCACCTGGCATACATCTGAGACCGTTTCACCTCGTGAGACCGTTTCACCTGGCATACAGCAAAACCTTTGACTCACCCCCAGCAGCAGCCTGCCGAGCCGGTTAACTTCATTCTCCGCGTACTCATCGCCCTTCTCCACTATGCTCCTCATTGTCTTGATGTACACGGCTGCTTGCCTGCCACACACAGTCAGTTCACAGCGCACACAGCACACATCAGACATGAGACACAAATGCCACACACAGTCACGGATCACCCTTCTCCACTACGCTGCTCATTGTCTTGATGCACATGGCCATGTGCTTGTGCTTGCCACACCAAGAACATATCCACGCATTCCCACCCTCTCCTCCCTCTCCTCCTTGCCTGCCCCAATAAACCCTCGAGCAGGCTCGTCCAGCGCTGCTTTAACCGCCCTGCCCTTCCCCGCCGCCTCTATTGCCCCACTCACTTTGCCTGCTCCTCTGTCACTTGCACCTTCTCCGCCCACCCAACACTCCCCTCCCTCTCCTGCATGCCCGCCGTAAGCCTCAGAGCTAGCTCGCCTCAACACAGCTATAACCACCCTGCCCTTACCCACCGCCCTCTGTCGCCCCACTTACTTGGCCTGCTCCTCCGTGACACGCACCTTCTCCGCCCTCCCCAATCGCTCCTCCCTCTCCTCCTTGCTTGCTCGGATGACTCCTCTCACCTGCACCTACCTACCTAATACCGCAATGTCTTTCCGCAGACTCACTTGGCTTCTTCTTCTGTCACGTGCACCTTCTCCGCCCTCCCCAATCGCTCCTCCCTCTCCTCCTGGCTTGCTCCGATGAACCCTCGAGCCACCTCGTCCAGCGCGGCTATGCGCCCTGCCTGGGTGGGGATGGAGGTGAGGGTGAGGGAAGGGACAGATCCTATTAGGGAAGGCACGCCAGTTCACAATGTTTTCTGCCAACAAACACTCTTGTCCTCATGTGCCTTACTGCCTTTGAGGCACCTCAAAAGCATTCTCTGCCAACACTCTTGTGTAATGTGTGTATGCTATGTGCCTTACACGACACACACCGGTTCACCCCACACTCACCATATCCAACAGTTTCCCAGTACTCGTAATGTGCGAGCGAGCCGGCTTCCTTGTTGGCCAACTTCACCGGATTGACCAGCTCCCACTCGCAATCGCAGCGCTCTCGTGTCGTGTGCCTTCAATCCCCGCCCCACTACTGGCCTGAGGCACGTTACGCATACCAGCTCACCTCACTGCAGAAACTTGTTGACAAACTTCACTCTATCAGTCAGGTCCCACGCGTCATTGTAATCCCCCCTAGTGCTTCAGCCCCCACTAGCGCATTGAGCCCCCCCACACTCTTACCCTGTCAGAGAGCTTTCCGGAAGTGGTTCAGTGCGTGCCTCCCTGTTGACAAACTTCACCAGCTCGCCCAACTCCCACGCCACACCTTTGACACCGTATCTCAATAAGGTTCAACTCCTACCATGTATGTGTCGCCTTACACCCACCAAGTCAGACAGCTTCCCAGTAGTGGTTCTGTGCGTGCCCGCTTCCTTGTTGACAAACTTCACCAGATCGCTCAGCTCCCACGCGCCGTTGTATTCCTCCCCATTCTTGTTGGACGGGGGAAACCACTTGATGGTAGGGTAACCAGACACATGGTAACTGCAGTGGGTGAGAAAGGAGGAGAGAAAATACAAGCGGTTATTACTGATGGCGGGAGGGAAACTTGGCCTGATAGGGTAACCAGAGACATTGTAACTGCAGTAGGTTAAAGGATAAAAACAAGGCTCGATGTAAATCGTCGGATGGGTTGCGTATGTATCCACATTTTCTTGCACATACTGAAATGCATTTTTTTTCCTGGAACCATTTTATTAGGAATGTACAATACTTCAATTTGATTGGGACAATGGATGTATGACAAAATTGGTAACATTAAGAACTTTAGAAACGCTTTAATGCTCTAAATAAAAGTGATGTTTTGGATTCCTCTTTCGACGTTTGTAACGGTGTTGACCTACAAATGAATGGCTTTCAGGGACAGAGCGAACACACCCCTGCTAGGGTTTGTTGGTGAGTCTTCCACCAGTGCCTCGTTCTTGCTCGTCCCTCGCTCGTACAGTAGCTTGTTCTTTCTCTTCCCTCGTGCCTTGTTCTTGCTCGTGTAGATTAGTCTCATACCTAGTCCTAGCACACACTTATCCTAGTTCTTGCTCCTAAATACGCTTAACTGTTACCTAAGCCATGTCAGTTCGCGCTGGCGCCTTGCGTGCTAGCGCCTTGCGTGCTAGCGCGTTTCGCGCTGGCGCCGTGCACGCTGGCGCTTTGCGCGCTGGCGCCGTGCGCGCTGGCGCGTTTCGTGCTGGCGCCGTGCGCGCTGGCGCCTTGCGCGCTGGCGCCTTGCGCTCTGGCGCTGTGCGTGCTGGCGCTGTGCGTGCTGGCGCCTTGCGCGCTGGTGCGTTTCGTGCTGGCGCCGTTTGCTCTGGCGCATTTTGCGTTGACGCCATGTCTCTGCGGCCGTGTGCGCACATGGCACTGTGCGAGTCGTCGTGGCATGGAGGGAAAAGGGGGAGGAGGAAGTGGGAGGATGGAGAAGGAAGGGTACGTGCAATGAAACTGCAGGTGAGCGAGCATACCACCGACTCCAGGTGAGAGTCGCCACAGCTAGGCGGGCCTCTCCCCTCTGTCTCTTTCCCCTGGCTAGTCCACTTGCTAGTTTCGTACTTGCTCCTAGCAGAGTTGATGTTAGTTCGCTTTCTGCTTAAACGCCCCTTGCTGTCACACTTGCTGTGACGCACTTGCTGATGGCGCACTAAATGGTAGTTCATTACCGTATTTTTTGCTAGCGCATTTGCTGTTTAAAATGCACCAACTGGTAGTGCACTTAGAGCAAGCTTACTAGTCTCGAGCTCAATTGCTATGCGCTAACGCTGTGCTCTCTACATTCTTCCACCGTCAGTTCTTTCGCCCTCCATCTTCCATCGCTCGTTCTTCCCCACTCTGTCTTCCCCCTTCTGACTTCTCCCCTCCGTTCCTCCCCCTTTGTCGTCCCCCATCCGTTCCTCCCCCTTTGTGGTCCCCCCTCCATTCCCACCCCTTCGTCGTCCCCCTCTGTTCCTCCCCCTTTGTCATCCCCCCTTCGTTCCTCAAACTTTGCCGCCCCCCCTCCCTTCTTCCTCCCTGTGTCTTTCCACCTCCGTTCTTCCTCTCACTGTTTCCCTCATTCCCGGTTTCCCCACTCACTTTTTACTACCTCTGTCTTCCCCCCTCCATTCCCCCCCCGTCCTTTCATCCTCCATTCTCCCGCCCTCTGCTCTCCCTCCCTCTGCCGTTCCCTTTCCATTCTTCCTCACCAACGCGCCCCCCCCCCCCCCCCTCCTTTACCCCTTGCGTTCATCTTACCTCATCCCCCTTCTGCTTTATTGCCTTTTGCAATCTATATTCTTACAAGCCCAAGTGCAGCCCATTCTCAGGTATACATTACTTTCCCTCTCACTGTTTTTTGTTCTTCCTCCCTCCATTCTTCCCCTGTCTGTGTGCCTCTGTCCTTCCGCTCCGTTCTTCCCCTCCATTCTTTCCCCTCCAGTCTTCTCGCCTCCATTCCCCCCTCAGCTCTTTTAAACCGTTCTACCTCTACGTTCTTCCACCCTCTGTTCGCCCCTCTCCATTCTTACCCCGCCTATTCATTCCTCCCTCTGTGTGACCCTTTCCCTCCCTCTGCCGCTCTTCCTTGCTCCTTACTCTCTTTTCTGCTTTTGCTTTTCCCCTACACTTGTTTCTACCCTGTGTTTGCTTCTCAGTTCAGCGGTTGCTTCTCTCTTGCACTTGCTGCTCCCTTCTCGTCCGCCTTTCTTACATTTGTCTCCGCTGCTCCGTTTTTCCCCTTGGCGTCCGTTCCCTTTCTCCCCACCTAATCGCTTTAGTTTCTCTCTGGTTGCTGGTGTCTCACGGCGTGTTCCTACGTGACACAATGTCATGCTACTTTGTGTCAACAATTGTATCGACGGGCAAATTTGACAGGCAAAATCCTAAATGACACGAAATAGCGTGACATCGTGTCACGTAGGAATAGGCCCTCAAGCTCTTCCCTCTTATTTTCTCCCTTGTTATCCTCTCCAGTCATGTCATCATGTTCAAGTTTGTCACATTCCAAGAACATTCCAAGTCCTCGAAGTTCAAGTCATCACGTTCCAAGTCTTCTCACTCCAAATCTGGTCAATCCTGTTGGCAGCATTAATTGATAGATATTTGAAGTTGACTTTTGGTCATATTTTCGTGCTACCCATTATATCTTCGTGTTTGACTTGCATGCATTTGCATTGTTGTTTTCTGTCTTGGTTTGTTATGTCGTGTTGCTTGTGTATGTGCATATGCGTGGTAGCATTGGTTGACAAAGTGCGTATCACTTTGCTGGCTTGGGTTGCACGGTGTTGCATTGCGTTGTGCTTGCAGGGGAAGGATGTTGACTATGCCTAGTGCATCACGCAATTTGTGATTGTCGTTGCCGGTTTTGGGAATTGCTTCTCATTCCGTGCATGTCAATCTCTATTGTAGCACGAAAGCATTGATGCATTACTTTCTTTGCAATCACCATTGCACTGTAATTTGTTTGGTAGCATGTGTTGTACATTGTTGTGTTTTGTGCGTGCGTGCAGGAAAACGATGCTGACTATGCCTTGTGCATCATACAATTTGCGATTGTCGTTGCCGGTTTTGGAATTTCTTCCCATAACGTGCATGTCAATCTCTATTGTGGCACGAACGCATTGATGCATTCGTTTTACTGCATTCACGATCGTTTTGCTATATTGTTTTGTTGTCGAGCCGAGCCGTTGTATGTGTGTGTGTTGGTAAGATGCGCTCTGTCTACATGCTTTGAATATGGTGGTGATGTTGTTGTGGTTCCTATCATTCTCCGCTGTAATTATCGACGGCGAATGATTCGAGCCTCTCTCATCATTCTTAGAAAGCGTCGAACATCGTTACAAAACTCTATGTTGCTCAATTATTATGTCGTCGTCGTCATTATCGACCACATAATAATTGGGAAACATATATTTTTGTTATGCGAGCTAGAAAGGTCTTTTGATACGCTAAGTTTCTGAGTTACAGTAAAAGGAACCAACAAACAAACGGATACGTAGGGATTCTCTACGGGAGGAGAATGTAAACATTCAAATTATAGATAACCAATTTTAGATGGAAACCAGTGTCGTTAGAGTGAGCGATGCATTAGACCCGGAAAAATATGTAGTGCAGGTTATTAGGCCGACTAAACAAATTCGTCCGAAATCGGTCCACCGACCGATTGTAAAAGGTTGCTACGCAACCCAAAAATGTTGTTACAATAGAGATGCACCGGAAGCAAAAGGAACAAACAAGGTGAGATGATTCTTAGTTTACAGTTTGGCACATTCCCGTTCCCTCTCCCATTCCCATTCCCATTTCCACGCCCACTCACATTTTCCACTCCCACTCACTTTCCATTCCCTCACACTTCCCATTCCCACTCACACTTTCCATTCCCACTCACACTTTCCATTCCCACTCACACTTTCCATTCCCACTCACACTTTCCATTCCCACTCACCGACGGCACATACAAATCGCACTCACGTCTCCTTGAGCTCCCTGTGCGTGCTGGCGTCCAGCTTCGCAATCACCACCCTGTCCTCCGCTTTGAACGCCTGGCCTAACTGTTCGTATGCCTGGGGGAAGGGAGGGGCGGGGGAGAGGGAGGGGCGAGAGGGAGGAGGGGTTAAGAGGGTTGACGGGCGTCCATCTTGGAATCACCACCCTGTCCTCCGCTGTGAATGCCTGGCCCAGCTGCTCATATGCCTGGGGGAAGGGTGCCGGGTGCAGGGTACAGGGTACAGGGCACAGGGTACAGGGTACAGGGTACAGGGTACAGGGTACAGGGTGCATGGAGAGGGAAGAGAGAGGCAAGACTGGCGTCAAGCTTGGCAATCACCGCCCTGTCCTCCGCTTTGAACGCCCACCCCAGCTGCTCGCACGCCTGGGGGGGGAGGCATGGTGGGCAGGGAGAGGGAGGGAGGGAGCGCAAGAAGCGGTAGAATAGGCACAAGTGGACACGGGATTCGGGCAGACGGGGTGAGAGAGAGTACAAAGCGGCCGAGGAGAAGAAGGTTCGTAGGGAACATGGAATTTGCACAGCACAGGGGAGGGATGTGTTGAATGGAGAGGGACAGGAGGCGAGACGATTCATCTAAGAAGGTCAAATGAAGGTGGGGTGTTGAGACGGTTTTAAGGGAAGTGAGGGACTACCAGAGCGAGGTACTGAGATAACTGGCACCTGATTTAAAGTTCAATCTCTACGCGCAGGATTTGAGGTGCTTCAGAAGTGAGGACTTACTGGCGCGAGGTCTTGGCAGAACTTGCACCTGAAAGGAAGTGAAGGTAAAGAGGTGTAACAGTAATGAAGTGCCCATATTGTCATACATATACAAGCACTTTGTCCATATGCATTATAATCTATAGATGCGCACCACATTCATACAATAGTATAAATATACATTGGGTCATTATCCACTGCCCTAGAGTTGCTCATCTCTCGATGGGGCATGGCATCTCACCATGGGGTATGGCATCTCTCCATGGGGCATGGCATCTCACCACCAAGTTGCATGGCATCTCACCATGTTGCATGGCAACTCACCATGTTGCATGGCATCCTACAAGGGCACGTGAATGAGGGTTAGTGACACTTGGTGAGTGTCATGTCATTGGATGTAGTGAGCACGTAAATTCCACGCGCACGAGTTTGACTGGGTCTGAGACCACTGCACCCAACCAATGGCACTCACCTACTCTCACCAACCAACCCTGACCAGGAGTGCCACCTTACCCTCCTGCCTAAGGGTACATTCCGCAGCTCGTCTTAGACTCGAGGTCAACCAGCCTTGGGTCATAGATCCCTAGGAAGGCCTGACACGCACCATCAGATTTGCCCCTCGAGTGCAATCTATCCTCGGGTCATATTGCCCGACCTCGAGCTGACACGAGCAGTGGAATTTGACCCTAAGAGTTGCTCATCCCACCATGCGGCACGGGCAACTCACCAGGGCGCGTAGAACTCCACAAGTACGAATCTGGATGGGTCCAAGACCACTGCGTCGAAGTTGTCAGGTGATAGGGTTACCACATCTGATGGCTCTGCTGCTGGTGGTTTGACGCTGGTGCCTGCAGCAACAGGGAGTTGGGGGAGGACGAGGAGAGGAGAGGAGAGGAGAACCAACCAAGGGACATTAAGGAGATTTCTCTGCTGCTGCTGGCGCCATCGCTGGCGTGAACAGGGATCTGCAGCACGGGGAGGGGCGGAGGAAGGCGAGAGTGTTGTTGAGGCGCCTTTGTGCCACTGCCTTCACGCGGAGCCCCATGTCAAGCAGATGCCTCTGCTGCTGGCGCCTTCGCCGGTGCCTGCAGCAAAAGAGGGGGGGAGGAGGGGGGGAGGGGTCGACGGGAGGATAAGATGACGGGAGGAGCATGTGGCATCAAGTAGACGGCTCTCCTGCTGGCGCCAGCAGAGCAGATGGGTCCCTCCTGCTCTGCGGGTGGGTCCCTCCTGCTCAGCGGGTGGGTCCCTCCTGCTCTGCGGGTGGGTCCCTCCTGCTCTGCGGGTGGGTCCCTCCTGCTCTGCGGGTGGGTCCCTCCTGCTCTGCGGGTGGGTCTCTCCCTCCCCTCCCCCAAGAGGCGGAGCAAGCTGGTGCCTGCAGCAAGAGGGAAGGAGGGGGAGGGAGGGACACGCGAGTGTTGAGTTGAGGCGCCATTGCTTGCAAGAAAAAGCTCTTCGTTACAAGCACAAGCCAGCTTCAATCGATGCAAGGAAAAGAAAGCACTCACCTAGCTTCTCATTGGTGAAGGAAACCAAGTCCTCCACACTCCGTCCTCCCGGATACCTGCCAGCAATTGAGTTATACGAAGAAGATAAACATATATAAGATTTCTAGTAAAACTCCTATAAACGCGCTCATTGAGTCCACTGTCCATGGCATGTACAGTAACCAGAGGTTATAACCATATCATACCATATGTCAGAGCACACAGTGAGAACCATGCCATGACACATGCAGGAATCCATGCCATGCGTAAAGCAATGCCATGATGCATGCCATAGGTAGGGCCATGACGCATGCCATAGGGCCATGCCACATTGTCCAAGGTGACTTCTGAGTCGATTCCAAAGTCACCTCGTTACAATGCCATGATGCATGCCACAGGGCCATGCCACATTGACCATGCCACGTCATAATCGCCCTCCCTTCTCCGTACTCTTCCGGTGCAGCAGTCCCTTTGGGGAACAACTTGAGCGTGGAGTGGAATTCCAGTGAAGTCACTCTGTACTCGAGGCTCTACTGAATCTGCTCCTGACCCAACTCAAACTCACTCCTTCCTCCGCTCTCCTTCCTCTGCTCTCCTTCCTCCGCTCTCCTTCCTCCGCTCTCCTTCCTCCGCTCTCCTTTCCCCCCTCTCCTTACTCCTAGGGTGGCGTTGTTTCTATGGGATACCGCTTCAGCGTGGGAAGCCTTTCAACGCGTATTCTCTACACAGTCTTTTCCTCAGTCGACCTCGAAGCTCACCCGCTCTTCTCTCCTTACTCTTTGGGTGAAGTTGCTTCTTTGGGAAACCATTTGAGCGTGGGGAAGCCTGTCACTTTGTACTTGCTACAGAGTCTGCTCTAAAGACGACTCAGAATCTTTTGAGGCGCCTCAGAACTCAGAATCTCCCCCACACCCCCCCTCAACACCGACCCCCCCAAAACCCCCCCAACCCCCCCCCCCCCCCAAAACCCCCACCCCCCCCCGAACCCCTCCTTACTCTTCCGGTGAAGTTGCTCCTTTGGGGAACCACTTTAGCGTGGGGAAGCCTGTCACTTTGTACTCGCTACAGAGCGCCTTGTGCTCGTCGCAGTCCACCTACAGGGAGAAACGGCAGAGGATAACACGCGTTGAGTGAGATGAATAACTTGGCCTTCACATCGTCAATGTGTGAACAGACTCAAACTCACTCACGAGTCACACGGCAGCCAGCTTCTGACTTGGCACACTTTCCTTCCACTCCTCCCTGGCTCTTCCGGACCAGCGTCCGCTGCTCGCCTTCTACCTCAAGCAAAGACCAACTCTTCCTCCCCGCAGCACTTGTCAACTCCCTAGGCTCGATCGTGCACACCTTGCCGACGAGGTGAGTTCGGAGTGGACTCAAAAGTCTCCCGCCTCCAATCACGGCCAACTCTTCCTCCCTGAGTCCCCGCAGCACTTCAGCACTTTTCATCTCCCTCACCTCGTTCCTACACACCTTACCAACGAGCACTGACGCCGTCTCTTTAAAAGCAGACCCGAATTTGTCATAGTCTGGCGCCAGCTTCTTGCAGTGGCCGCACCTGCCACCGGGAGGAAGGGAGGGGGAAGGGAGGGGGAAGGGAGGGATGGGGGAAAGGAGGGGGGAGGGGGGAAGCGGGGGGGTTTGGGGGGAGGAGGGGGAGGGAGATGGAAGTGAATTTGTCATAGTCGGGCGCCAGCTTCTTGCAGTGGCCGCACCTGGCGCCGGGAAAGACGGGGGAATGGAGGGAAGGGAGGGGCGGGGGAAAGAAGGGGGTAGGGGGGAAGGAGAAGGGAGTTGGGGGGAGGAGGGGGATGGAGATGGAAATTAATCACGAATTGCGACGGTGAGGTGATTGCGACGGTGAGGCGATTGCGACGGTGGGAAAGGCCGTTGTTACCAAGGGGCGATGACGAAAGAGAGAGGCATTGACGAGGACGAGGACGAGAAGCGGCTACGTCAGCGAAAAGTGATGACGAGGGCGAAAGACGATTACCACGGCGCGTAGAACTTGACGAACGCGGCCTTGTCCTTCCCCACCAGCATCGCGAAGTTGTCGCGGGTCAACTCGACGACGTTTGCGACGGCCGCTAACGAAAGCGTTGCGAAGACTAGTAGCGACAGTCCCAATCGGACAGCCATGGCCGCTGATGGTTTCGTATGTCTTGAAGTTATGCTCGAACCTCGCACTAGTTACGTCCATCTATCCGTGGCAAGTACACCTGTTCTTCTATTTAGTTCCACGGTTTTTGCACGCGGCTTGAGCCTGTAACCAGGAAATTGTAAAACACGGGCAAACGGGACTTCGAAGGGGAAATCCCACAGTGAGCAATGACACCTGGTTACAAAATCTCGCTCATGCACTAGATTGGTTGCCTGCGCGAAGTTCCAGCTCTAAATCTCGCAATTGTCGAATTACAATTTGGTAGTTCGTTATCGTTCAGACTGCAGCCAATCAGGTTCAGTGTCAACGCGAGTCATGCTGAGAACCTGGTAGGTGAGATTGCAATCTGGACTGTTCGGGGTGGGACCATAGAGGAGGAACGGTGTACTGCTTGTCTGCGCTATTCGCCTATGGAGCTTTCATCAATCTCACGATTACCACATCAGCTGCAATAGCTGTACTAACTGTATGTATATTAATTGTCCACCCGAAATGAAATACCAAGATGAAAGTAAGAAATTTTTAGTTAACACTCTAGGGTATGGCCCAGTATGAATGTGCCATAGCAGAAACGAAGCATGATTATGTACAAATGATTCGAATATACAAACAACCATGACAATTAGACATTTACTGATTGAGAGGACACTCATACGACCAGTGAAACGGATCGCCACAAGTGTAACACCCAGCATCCCCACCACCACCACCAGCACCACTACCACCATTCACCAACTCACTAGACCGTACGAAACCAATGTTCTCACCAGTCGCCCCCACCACACGCCTCCCTCCCCTTCGACCTGCCCCGCTGCGCCCACTACCACCCCTTCCCCTGCTGCCCCCTCCCCTCTCTGCCCCCCCACTTCCTCGCCCCCCCCTTCCACCCCTCGTTTGGCCCTGGCCTTCAGTTCGACTGGACCTGGTAGCTCCGCCAGTTGCTGAACCTCGGCCCTGGCTCCCTCTCCCCAGGCCTGCAGCAGAGGCTCGGCCCGGGCCCCGGCCTCTGGTTTGTGGTGGTGCTGTGGATGCAGACGTGGTGGGGGGGGTGGTGGGGTTTCGAAAGGGGGGAGCGGAGGAGGGGCGACTACCGGAGAATGCGCCATGAGATGCCGGGGGAGGAGGCGGGGGAGGGCGGGATTGAGGGGCGAAGGAGGGGCGGGATGACCCACATGCTTCTAGGAGATCCCTGAAATCTTGACTGCAAATGATGCACACTGTAAAGAGGATATAGGGTGGGCGATGAAAGTGGTAAGGCAGGGAAAATGAGGGGATCAAGATCATAATTCACAATCCGATGTGCGACAGAAAGGATGTTGCCTGCAGACAGTGCGTGCTATAAACGGATCACAGCATTGCAAGTGACGCCAGCCTGTTGTAATTAAATCAGAATCAGCTCTCCTTCTGCTGGACTACCCGCCCTACACTACTAGACTTATCTGGTAGCTCCATACCTGCAAGCAGCCCTACCTTCTTGTTGCGTCAGCCTTGCCTCCTCACTGCTAGCCCTACCTCCTTGCTGTATGGGTTCAAACTGTGGTGGGATGTCGGACCGGCGAAAACGCAGGTTGAGGCATGCGAGGGGGCCTGGAGAAGATGAGTGAGGAAAGTGAGGCAGGAGGGGCGGAGGAGTGAAGGGATGGGAGAAAAAGGCAAGGGGAGTAGGGGAATGGGGGGTTCAAACTGTTGTGGGACGTGGGAGTGGTGAATGCGAAGGCGGAGGCACGATAGGGGGCCAGGGGGGATAGGGATGGCAGGGTGAGGATATAAGATGAGGGCACGGAGAATGGAAAATCCGGGGCTCAAGCCGTGGCGGGATGAGGAGCCGGCAAAGGTTGAGGCATGCAAGGGGGCCAGATGGGAAAGGTGAGCACGGGAAGATGTACGATTCTTTTTAATTTGTTCTTTTTAGATTCCCAGGAGTTGCAAGAGGGGGAAGCAGGAAGACAAATATCGGCCTCGCATGCGAGATGACCCAGTGTGCACTGTAAGGAACATTCCGAGTTTGACGCATTCGTGGGAAGCCGAGGACTGTTGTTGAGGCATGGCGTCAGAAACCGAGGCTGCTTCATGAATTATTGACGTCACAGTTGCCCACATTACCTGGGCGGCAATTGGAGCAGTGTGAGTCAGCAAGAGTGGCCTCGATCAAAGCAGACGGCATCCATATGGCCTCACGGCACTGTGAAGGGGGGGAAGATGAGGAACTGGGGCGCGAGGGGCGAGAGGAACTGGGAGAGCTGCGCGAACGAAGGGGACAAAGAGGACGAAGCGGACGACATTTATATATACAGGCTCATGACACTGCAGAGGGAACGGAGAGATGCAAGGGCGTGAGTGAGGTAGAGATGGGTTTGGCATTTATACAGCCTCACGACACTGGGGAAGAAGGAGAGTTGCAAGAAGGAGGGGCTAGAGGGTTGCGAGGAGGAGAGAGAACCGCGTGAGCAAAGCGGATGGCATTCGCATCACATAGTCTCACGACATTGCAGGAGAAGGGCGACATGGAGGGGAGTGAGGTAGAGATGAGATGGGGGTGCATCACACACTGGAGGAGAAGCGCTCCATGGCACCACACGCTCCAGTGAATCATCGCAGCCACAACAACAAGCGCTCGAGGCGCACATACTCACAGAGAGTATGGACAGATCAGAACAGGCCCGGCCAAGAACGTTGGAGCTTTGGAACATACAGAGTGAAGGCAAGGAACGTTAAAACTCACGAGGGGAAAGCTGGAGCATCCTGCCATGAAGCCTCCCGCCTGGTATCCAAAGGGAGGAGATGGTGAGGGCGGTGCCATGCACATGTGGAGTGGAAAAAGGAGTGGATGGGAGACAGAGATAGCCATGCGACTACTAACACACACACACGCCCACAAGTGCGTGCACCCGTACACATGCTAGGGTGACACTGGGAAAGGCGGTGGAAGTGCAGAGGAGGCCCGTGCAAGAAGCTCACCGGTCGCTGCTTGAGCACAAGGTGTGCAGTGCGGCACTTGGGGCACGGCCCCATGGCTCCCACCACCTGACCGCCACCCCCCCGTCCTCCTCCTCCTCCTCCTCCTCCCCCTCCCCCCCCTCCTCCCTGGCCCCCCCCTCCATCTGCATTGGTTCTGGATGTAGAAAAAGGATAGGAGGGAGGGGAGGGGGCCCATGGAGCGCAGGGGCGAAATCACGGCAATGATGAACTGATGACGGTCTCACGGGATTTCCCTCCCTCGTAAGGCACGAACTCATGGCAAAATCATGGCAATACAGCTGAATCAGCCATGATCTCACTCATGCATGCAGATGACTAGATGCTTGAATGAGTTAAGGACCGAATAACTGAATGAACGGATTGCTGGATAGCAGAGTCACCTGTCAAAGAAGAGAGCCAGTGCGTCGATCAGCTTCTGCTGCTGTTCCCTCGCCTGAAGAGAGGGGAGCAGAAGGGAGATGGAACGAGGTGGGGTGGATGGATGGGGGGGAGGAAGTTGGTGTGACGAAAACGAGTGGGAAGAACCAGCAACCAGCAACCAGCAAAGGAGACGTCTGGAAGACTGGCTTACCTGTCAAGAACCAGCCGGGTTTTATGCGTTCTTGATTGTGTGCACCATAGGAGCCACTCGTGTCTTCATCAGGCTCTGCATGGCGCGGTCGTCTCGTGCTGTTGATCACTTGTAGTCTCATTACTTTGATGAAGTCTAACCTTCCACGCACACCACACGCTTGAAACAATCATAATCCCTTACTCTTTAACAACGGATGCCACTAGACATCCATCTACCATGTTAGACGCAACCTTTCTGTGGCCGTGAGGGAGTCTGCCAGCACCTGCACCTTGGTCTTCCGCCCCTCACTGACCATCCTCATGTCTCGCTCCATCAGCGCTTTTAGCACACTCGTTACAAGTACTCACGTCCATGAAAGCGGCCTTGGTTGCTCTCAGCGTGTCTGCCAGCACCTGCGCCTTGGTCTTCCGCCCCTCGCTGACCATCCGCATGTCCCGCTCCATCAGCGCCCTCAGGTGCGGCTTCCACAGCTCGTACCCCATATTGTCATACCCCAGTACTAGTGCCTCGCCCTGTATAAGGTAAGATAGGGAAATGAGATACAGGAATACAAGCTCGCAGGCCCAACTTCCACAGCTAGTACCACAGATATTGTCATACCCTGGTACCACTGCCCCCCCTGCTGCAAACATAAGAAAAAGGAATGCAGCAAAGAAAAACGATTCCTCCTTCTTATGTTTGCAGCAGGGGGGTGCAGAAAAAGGAATGATGCAAGGAAAATAGAAGTGCACATTGCCTGAAGTAATCCAAGTAGATATTATAGAAGCTAAACACGTGTCATTTAGGTGTTTGTTCGCCTTAAAAGTTCAGCATTAGTGCATACCCCATATCGTCGTCCCCCAATACTAGTGTCTCGCCTGCGCCAAGCAAGACCGAAGCAGCAGAACGACGTGCAAGAAGCGTCGAAGGCGAAAACTCATTCCCAGTGCCGAAGTACATGTGTAATGTCTGCCGTTTCCTTGTGCACCACGCATCTCTCGTCTCCATTTGCAACTGCACTGCAGCACACCAAAAACAGACTTACCAGGGGCGTCGGTTTGAAGCGTGTGTTGGCGTCCTTGGTGGCGTAGCAGCGGTCCAGCAGCTTCTTGATGTGGTCGTGCATCGTTGCATCTGTACCGATGCCAGCCTGTGGGTGTGCCGATGGGGATGGGTGAAATCGGAACAAGAACATGATCGCTTGCAGTCACCTCAATCACCACACAATAAGTGAGCGCACTTTGCTCATTGGTAGAACTGTGTGCTTGTCTTCAGTCACATTCGGTTGTTTCGGCAGCTATTGAGTCACGTCGGGTGCCAGCCATTTCCTCCTCGTGCTGGAGAATCTTTGAGAATTCTCAAAAATGATTCCCGGGTTTGTTCGAGCTGTGAAACGTCTCATGTCATCCTGGGAATGTGAGCAGCGAGGATCAACTTTTGCTCCAGTAGGAGGGAAAAGCGTATTTCGAGTCGACTCAAAATACAGCTCGCACATGATGCGAAAGAGATTCAATAGGCGCGATTCGATAGGTTCTGAAACAACCGGATGCCACTATCAGCGCACCCACATGCACACACTCACATGCTCACTCGCTCGCACACTCACATGCCTCCCTCTATCAGCCCACCCACATGCACACACTCACATGCTCACTCGCTCGCACACTCACATGCCTCCCTCTATCAGCCCACCCACCTTGTCCATCAGCCCCAGCAGGTCAGCTTCGGAGAGCAGTGGTGGAGGCTCGGTGCGCCCGGACCTGAGCTCAAGGTCCGTGGGGGTGAACTGCTGGCCGGTTTGGAAGGCAGGCAGGGTGTGCGCGCCCCAGGAGTCGTAGCGGTACACATCCAGGTAGTTGCGCTGTGGGGCGGGGGGGAGGAGGGCAATAGAAGAGACGTGTCAAGGCCATTGTGATTCGCTGCAGCGCAGGTACGGTGTGCACGCCCCAGGGTTCTGCTTTTGAGTCGACTCAAAAGCGTACGGTGTGCGCGCCCCAGGAGTCGTATCGGTACACGTCCAGGTAGTTGCGCTGGGGGAGGGGAGAGAAGGAGAATAGAAGAGGTGTGTCAAGGAGATTGTGGTGGTCATTGCAAGGCAGGTACGGTGTGCACGCCCCAGCAGTAATAGCGGTACCCTACCAGGCAGTTGCGCTGGGAATGTGGTGAGAGAGGTTAGGAGGGATGGGAGGTTAGGAGGGATGGGAGGTTAGGAGGGATGGGAGGTTAGGAGGGATGGGAGGTTAGGAGGGATGGGAGGTTAGGAGGGATGGGAGGTTAGGAGGGATGGGAGGTTAGGAGGGATGGGAGGTTAGGAGGGATGGGAGGTTAGGAGGGATGGGAGGTTAGGAGGGATGGGATGTTGATTGGTGCGTTGCGGTGTACCCTATAAGGGCCGTTACTGGGACTGGGTAATGACTATGACAGGAAAGACAGTCGTTGCAATGGTCTGTTGCACCTCACAGCGGCGATCATGAGTCCGCGCGCGCTGAACGCCTCCCCACCCACTGGTGCGATCACGAGAGTGGGAAGAGACTAGGACGAGAAAGACAGGTGTTGGGATGTGATGTGATTATCAGCCTCAACTCACAGCTGTGATCATGAGCCCCCCATGAGCGGTGAACGTCTTCCCACTGGGGGAATCATGACTTGGTTGAGCAGACGCCTGCGACTCTCTGCCTCAACTCACAGCTGTGATCATGAGCCCCCGCGCGCTGAACGCCTCCCCCGCGATATCAATGCTCACGATCGTCTCGAACCCCACTGCTGGCTGCGACACCGTTGCCAGGAAGTGTCGCACGACCAGCTCGTACAGCCGCTGGGAAAGAGAGGGAAGGGTGATTGGAGGGAATGGGGGGGGGAGGGGAGGGGAGGGGGGAGGGGGGAGGGGGAGGGGGAAGGGGGAGGGGTTAGGGGGGAGGGGTTAGGGGGAGGGGTGAGGGGGGAGGGGGGAGGGGGTAGCAGAAGAGAGAGATGTGCTGCTGGCTGCGGCACTGTGCTGCCAGGAAGTGCCACACCACGAGCTTGTACAGACACGGGGGGGAGAGGTGAGAGGAGAGGGGAGGGGGAGGGGAGGGGGGCCGGAGTGGGCAGGGGGGCATAGGGTCCAGGGGGAAAGAGGGGGGAGGAGGGGGGGAGAGAGGTGAGATGAGAGTGGGGTTAGGTAGGTGAGGGCCCGCACGTTTCTGGAGGGAACACGCTTTGAACGTGGGACATGCAGCGGCGTTCACACCATCTCATCCCATGGCGTACCAAGTGGTCCGGGCTCCTGTTGGCCTCGCCATGCGCCCACGCCCGATATTGGTGGGCATTGCTCCTGGAGCCACACAACAGCATGCTCCAGAAAATTTCCTCACCTCCCAAAAAACCACCCCACCACCCCTGGAACCCCTCACTACTCACCGGAGGTCCATATAACTGAGAAAGGTGTAACGCTCCTCCTATGCCCATCCTATGCCCGGCACCATTGCCCCTCTTCCTACGAGTACACATAGGCAGCCAAGTCCCTGGGAAGCCCGCAAGCAGCAGTCTGGCGAAGGTGCCCTATGGACTGCCTGTGCTTCTGCGAGGAAACCCTTAACCTGCTGGTTGCGATGTGGAAGCTCTCGACAGAAACCGAGGCAATTGGCATCGCCGACAATTTGAAGCCAGATTCGGCCTGCCTGCCGTCACTCATGGTCTTGGGAAGAGCAGCAGTGCAAAGTTAGTCGCTTATGTGTACTTGCAGGATGGGGTTCAGCGGTACCGGGCGCAAGATGGGCTGCAAGTGGGGGCAGTGGGCGCGATCATATGGTTGGGGCTCCAGTTGGGTTCACCGTTCACTGAAGCCCTCGTGGGGTGGGGTGGATGGGGGGTTGCGCCTTGTCATCGTGTCCATGTGAAGACTGCAAAGAAATTCCCACCCACAGTTCTCACCCGTGCCACGTGGTCAGGGCTCCTGTTGGCCTCGCCATGCGCTGACGTCCACGTGGGGTGGATGGGGGGGTGTGCCATTTCATCGTGCCCGCCAACCAAAAAGCGAGACTTTACAACATCATCCCACCCATCATCCCACCCATCATCCCACCCATCCTCCCACCCATCCTCCCACCCATCTTCCCACCCATCATCCCACCCATCATCCCACCCATCCTCCCACCCATCCTCCCACCCATCTTCCCACCCATCCTCCCACCCATCCTCCCACCCATCCTCCCAGCCATCATCCCTCCCAGCCATCCTCCCACCCATCATCCCACCCACCCTCCCACCCATCATCCCACCCATCCTCCCGCCCATCCTCCCACCCATCCTCCCACCCATCCTCCCACCCATCCTCCCACCCATCATCCCACCCATCCTCCCACCCATCATCCCACCCATCATCCCACCCATCCTCCCGCCCATCCTCCCAGCCATCATCCCTCCCACCCATCCTCCCACCCATCTTCCCACCCATCTTCCCACCCATCATCCCACCCATCATCCCACCCATCCTCCCACCCATCCTCCCACCCATCTTCCCACCCATCCTCCCACCCATCCTCCCACCCATCCTCCCAGCCATCATCCCTCCCAGCCATCCTCCCACCCATCATCCCACCCACCCTCCCACCCATCATCCCACCCATCCTCCCGCCCATCCTCCCGCCCATCATCCCACCCATCCTCCCACCCATCCTCCCACCCATCCTCCCACCCATCATCCCACCCATCCTCCCACCCATCCTCCCGCCCATCCTCCCAGCCATCATCCCTCCCACCCATCCTCCCACCCATCATCCCACCCATCCTCCCGCCCATCCTCCCACCCATCATCCCTCCCACCCATCCTCCCACCCATCATCCCACCCATCCTCCCACCCATCCTCCCACCCATCCTCCCAGCCATCCTCCCGGCCATCATCCCGCCCAGCATTCCTTCTGAGCCTTACCTTGTGATCCGGGCTCCAGTTGGGTTCCCCGTTCACTGATGCCCTTGTGGGGTGGATGGGGGGGTGCGCCTTGTCATCGTGCCCGCCGTTGCCAGGTGCCCTCCACAGATTGGCCGCTGGGTCCAGCAGCCGCTGGGCATAGTCGCCCCACGCGCTGTTGCTGGCCTGATCCGACACCAGGGCCTGGGAGGAGGAGAGGAAGGGCGGGAAGAGAGGGGGGGTGGGGTGGGGGGGAGGAAAGGAAAGTTCCAGCATGCACAGCCACCAGGCGGGACTCTGGGTATAGTCGCTCCACACGCTGTTGCTGGCCTGATCCAACACCGGGGCCTGGGAGGGAGAGGAGAGGAAGTAGGGGAGGGGAAGGAGATTTCAAAGCCAACAGCCACCAGGAGGGAATCCGGGCATAGTCGCCCCACGCGCTGTTGCTGGCCTGATCCGACACGAGGGCCTGGGGATGGACGAGAGGAGACGCGGGGTGGGGGGAAGAAAGGGAAGAAAGGGAGACACATGCGCCTTCTATGGGAGTTCCCATAGCAGAGGACGTGCATGCATGGTCGGCTCAGGCGCAAGGCAAGGTCCAGTGCCGGATTGTACCTGCCTCCTGAGCGCACCTATCCTGAGTACCCTGAGCGCACCTGCCCTGAGCGCACCTGCCCTGAGTGCACCTGCCCTGAGTGCACCTGCCCTGAGTGCACCTGCCCTGAGTGCACCTGACCTGAGTGCACCTGCCCTGAGTGCACCTGCCCTGAGTGCACCTGCCCTGAGTGCACCTGCCCTGAGTGCACTTCCCCGAGTGCACCTACCTGCCCTGAGTGCACCTGCCCTGAGTGCACTTCCCCGAGTGCACCTACCTGCCCTGAGTGCACCTGCCCTGAGTGCACTTCCCCGAGTGCACCTACCTGCCCTGAGTGCGCCTACCCCAGTCCACATACCCTGAGTGCACCTGCCGTGAGTGCGCCTACCCTGAGGTCCATGGCAGCACTGCTTTGAGGGGCCTCAGACCCAGGCTAGTAGGTTTGGGCCGAACCTACCCGGAGGTCCATGGAGGGGGGAAAGCTGTCTGTCTCCGTGCGTGGATAGCTCATGAAGCCCTGCTGGTACAGCTCCTCTGCTACCTGCAAGAAAGCAACGAGGGGGTTGGGGGGTGGGGAGGGGGGAGATAAACAAGGAGGGTGGGTGGAAAAGAGGGGAGCCATCATGAAGCCCTGCTGGGACAGCTCCTCTGCTACCTGGATAACACAGAAAAGGGGGGGGGGAGGATAATAGCTGGAAAAAACCTGCAGTGTAAGGCAGCACAGGTGGTGAAAGGAATCACATGCAGTACAGAATACACTTTGATTGATCTCACGTACAAAAAGACAACAACTGGTGCCGCCAAAATGACAATCACCTTCATGCTGTGCTGTGCTGTGCTGTGCTCTGATGACATACAGAAGTAAAACGTAGGCTGTGGCTGTCACGGTCGCACCTACGTCTTACTGGTGCTAGAACGAGCATCACCTTCATGGTGCGCTCTGATGACATGCGCAGGAACCGCGAGGCTCTCTTCTGCAGCTCCACTGTGTTGAGCGGGAAGGGCGGGAACTTGCGGCGCTCACTGCCCGACACGTCTGTCACCTGCAGATGTGACGTAGGGTGTGAGCAGAGGCTGGTGAAGGGAAGAGGAGAAGAGTATGTGTGGAAAAGGCAGGGCAAAAGAAGTGCTTTTGAGGCGCCTCCAATGCCGCACACGATTTTAGAGTCGACTCAAAAATCACCAAAGGCAGGGCAAAAGGAGTGGCGCACAATGGATGTGGTACGGTTGGGGAGAGAACAGGCTGCATCATGGCAATGTAGGGTTGTGGATGGGGTTGCAGCCGGCGCAAAGCTTACAGTGGCATTGGTAAGGCTGGATGCTCACAGTGGCAGTGGGGTTGTCGATGCACATCTCAAAGAGCGTTGCAGCAACGTGGTGGTCGAGCAGACGGCCCCTCCTGGGAGAACGGAAAGACGGCGTTGAGTGAGGGTGGGAGATGGTGTGGGGGAGGGTGTTGTGCTGCTGGGGGGGGAGAAGCCATCAGTGAGAAGGTGAGCCCTAAGCGTAAACACAAGTGGAGGCGGTTGACAACAAAACTGCCTGACTTGTCAACACGCGGAAGATCAGTAGCGTAATGGAAGAACGGAGGACGAGGGGGCATTACTGCCAGGAGAATTCAGCAGTGGTGGCTAAAGGCGGCAACTGTTGAACGTATTTACAGTGGATGGCCCAGAAGGGCTCCTCCACATGCCCCAGTATGTCCCAGTAGCGCTCAACCACAAAGCCGAGCGTGGGGAACTGGAGGGTGGGGATGGGCGAGAAGGGGAGGAGAGAGAAGGGAGGGAACAAGAGGGAAGTGTGACAACGCCAAGAGGGGCGCCTCCATACGTGCCAGTATGTCTCAGGAGGAGCGCTCCACCTCAAAGCCCAGCGTGGGGAGCTGAAAGGTAGGGAGGGAAGAGAAGAAAGGAGGGAGAGAACAAGAGGGAAGAGAAGGAAGGAGGGAGAGAACAAGAGGGAAGGATGGCAACAAGCAAGAGGGCTCCTCCAAGTGTGCCGGAATGTCCCAGTGGCGTTCCACAACAAAGCCGAACGTGGGGAACAGGAGGCAGGGTCCGTAGCTAATGATGGGCCTGAGGTTGGCAGCGGGCGAGCGCACAGCAGCACAACTGGCAGTCTCAACTGGCCAGAACTCACCTAGCAACATCCAGGCAGCAGGTCTCACCTGGCACGGCCTGTAGCTGATGACAAGCTAGCGGTCGGCAAAGGGCGAGGGAAGGTCAGTACAATCGGCAAGTACCACCTGTCCAGACCCACCTGTCCATCCAGACCCACCTGCACAGCACCAGATCCCACCTGGAGCAGCACCCACGACGCACTTGGCAGGGCCCGTAGCTGATGACAAGCTTGCGGTCGGAAGAGGGCGAGGGCAGGCCTGCATGCAAATGTCACCTAACCAGGTCGCACCTAACCAGGTCTTACCTAACAAGGTCGCACCTGGCAGGGCCCGTAGCTGATGACAAGCTTGCGGTCGGCAGAGGGCGAGGGCAGGTTGAAGCGGCTCTGCAGCAACATGGTCTGGAAGCGGGTGAAGGACGCCCCGATGCGCAGATCGATCTCCTGACTTGGGTGGGCAGCAGAAGGAAGCGCTTGGCAGGTGGGCAGGGCATACGAGAGAAACTGGGTGTGGAAAGTTGTGCGGAAGGAGCTGAAATCGGCACCCTAGCCCTAGGGTTTGTGAACTTACCTTATCATTCCACACTCCCCTCCATGCCCCTCTCCTCTTCATTCTCACACACATGGCCTTGCACTGCATCCATTCACTAACCGCCACACCTGCCGCCCACTGACTACCTGCCAATGCATGCCAGCCATATGTACCTGGCGAGCATCAACAGCATCTGCGAAGTTGGAGTTGGGGCGGCCCAAGTTCTGAGCCGCGTGATGGATGTCTCTGATTGGAGGACAGAATGCCACGTGGCAGAACAGGGTTGAAAGGCAACGGGCAGTGGCGAGATGGATAAGGAATCGGCCGAGAGTTGAAGGAAGGACGACGCATGATGAAAGATCGAACGTTTGAAAGGTACGAGGCAATGCATGCATTCTTGTCTGCATTTGGATTGACACGCCATGAGTCGTATCCGTGGCTTAGCGGGAATATTTATTCAAGAGAAATTGTTCGAGAGGTGCAGCACCTGTCAACGAGGGCTGAGAAGTGAGCTCGAAAGACTGCCAGGCGTGAATTAGCAGACAGACACACCTGCATGCAACCAATGGGTTGAAGAACAAGGCATCGGAAGCAGGTCACAGGAACTACAGAAACAAGCAGCCGCGCACATGCTCAGCGAAAGGGGGCGATGATCATGATTCATGCTGCCCTGGGTAGACAGTCCAGGGGGCAGACGACCGGGGAAAGTGGGAAAAGCGTCAGAATTTACCAAGAAGGCAGGAGGCAGAGAGAGAGAGACAGGCGGACCTGCATGACCTCGTAGGCGATGTTCTCGCCCTCTCGGTCGCAGTCCAGCCACAGCACCAGGCGGTACAGAAGGCAGCACACGAGAAGAGGAGAGCAGGCAGACAACCCCACCTGCATGACCTCATAGGCGATGTTCCCCCCCCTCGATCGCAGTTCAGATACCTTTGGGGTCGACTCAAAAGTCATACCTGCATGACCTCGTAGGCGATGTTCTCGCCCTCTCTGTCGCAGTCCAGCCACAGCACCAGCTGGTCGCTGCGCCTCGCTTCCTCCTTCAACGTCACTTCTAGGGCCGCCTTTTCCTGCACGGGGGGAAATGAAGGGGGCAGGAAGGAGCGAGACACACACACAGACCAGACAGACAGACAGACAAGCATGATGCCGTATGCAATGTTCTCCCCCTCTCTGTCGCAGTCCAGCCACAGCACCAGCTGGTCGCTGCGCCTCGCTGCGTCTTGACTCCTCCGTCGACGGGCCGCACAAAGAGCCTGCTTTTGAGTCGACTCAAAAGGGAGAGGAAGGGGGAAAGAGACGAGAAGGAAGAATGGACGAACAGCGAGGCACCATGATGAATGAAGGGCCGCACAAAGAAGGGGTCTGCGTTTTCGGTATTTTGGGTTACCTACGAGAAAAGAAAAGCGGTCCATCGACCGAGCCGAACCTCCATTCACAATCCCCCCTATTCACAATCCCCTCTCAGAATCTTGTCACTCAGATTCGAAGCTACCAAGCCTTCCATGTGTGGAGTGGCCTTACAGCCTGACTGGTCACTGGAGAATCAAGGAGCTCCAGCAGGGGGTCACATGCGTGCCACCCACTTCCTAAAGAATTGTGTACTTGAGGATTCTCAATAACAAGCAGATTTAAGGCCTCGTAAAACCCCTCGCCTGAGGTATGTGGCCTTGTCTGAAGACAGGTGCGTCAAAGAGCTGCAGGGGGTCGCAGGCATGCCACTTCCTGACGGGGTCCAGGATGTCGAGGATTCACAATTGAGGGACTACCCATACATCCTACCTGTGGTACGGCTTTGTAGACCGGCGCGTCAAAGAGCCGCAGGGGCCGCATCGATGGCACGTCCTGAAGGGTTTTGCTATAAGCAGCCCTAGAGAACATGCCATGCCCGGACCAACCAGCCCTCCCACCTGTGGTATGGTCTTGTACACGGGAGCGTCAAAGAGCTGCAGGGGGTCGCATGCATGCCACTTCCTGAAGGGGTCCTGGAAGTCCATCTCCATGAGATGGCCTGTCACTGACGTCATGGCCATGTCGCACGGCTGGTTGCTCATCATGTAGCTGCATAGCGGGCAGATGGGGGGCAGATGGGGGGCAGATGGGGGCAGATGGGGGGCAGATGGGGGCAGATGGGGGGCAGATGGGGGGCAGATGGGGGGCAGATGGGGGGCGGATGGGGGGCAGATGGGGGCAGATGGGGGGCAGATGGGGGGCGGATGGGGGGCAGATGGGGGGCAGATGGGGGGTAGATGAAGATGGGAAAAAGGACAGACAGGAGGGACAAGCTTCCGTGGCCGATCACTGACGTCACAGCCATGCTACACGGCTGGGTGAGCATGCGGGTGAAAGGTGGAAGCAAAAGAGGCACAAGGGAAGAAAGCCTGATGCGCAGCCATCAGCGTGGGTCTGAGCGGCAGTTGCTTGTCAACCTTGCAAAAGCCGGTCACACTCAGACTGATGGCATGGCCTGCCGCATGACTGATGGCATGGCCTGCCGCATGGCTGGTTGTAGCGCATCGGCTGCGGCTGTAGCTGATGGAAACGAGGCAAGGCAGTCAGGGAAAGACGGGAACTCGTGACAATTTCGAGTCACCCTAGCAATTGCCGGTCGCTGACGTCATCGCCATGTCGCACGGCTGGCATTTCACCGTGTAGCTGATAAGGCAGGCAGCAACGCCAAATGGCTAAGGAGGTGCTCATTCTGATAAAGTTCTCAAACGCGAAAGCCACGTGCAGACGCTCAGGCTCAGGCTCAGGCTCGGGCTCGGGCTCGGGCTCGGGCTCGGGCTCGGGCTCGGGCTCGGGCTCGGGCACGACACGTGGCTGGTGGCTCTCACGTGAATTCGAAGATCCGGTTGTACACCGACCGTCCCTCGCGCGACCGGACTCCCCCCCGCCATATCGCGCGAGGATCTCCGCCACGGCGCGCGCGACGGACGGCTTCTCCGCCACGTTCAGCACGCGAAGGGGCCGACCCGCCGGCATGGCGATGGTGGGTGATTTCCGACGCGAATCGTGATTTGCTCCTGTTCGTCTCTAACGCGTTCGCCTCTAACGCGTTCGCCTCTAACGCGTTCGCCTCTAACGAGTTGAGGGAAGCCTTAAAGCGCGAGGATCTCCGCTACGGCGCGAGTGACGGACGGCTTTTCCGCCACGTTCAGCACGCGGATAGCCCGGCCGAGCCGGCATGGCGATGGCGATGGCGACTCGTTTCTAGTCGCCTCTAACAAGTTCTGAGCCATCTCAAAGCGCGCTGATCTCGGCCACGGCGCGCGCGACGGACGGCTTCTCCGCCATGTTCTTGATCAATGTGGTCTAGGTTCAGCGTACTCGAGAAGAAAAGGTCCAGGATTCTAACAGGGCCCAAGCTGACGCACTCTCCCGACAACAGAATTTCTCTGATGGCAGGCAATTCCCAAGGCTGCGATCGAAATCCGTGATGGTGAATGGGATCAGCGATTTCAGTGCGCTCGCTACAAGTACATGATAAAGTAGATTCCCCCCAAAACTGATGTAGTGGCAACTTGACTCTTATGATAATCTCCGAATGGGAGTGTAATGCAATAGTGAGGTCGTGAGGGAGTACAAAGTTTGTTGAGTACAAATGAAGCACAGGGCTAAATACAAGCACAGCTAACCTAGCAAGGGAGACGAGGAGGGCCACGAAACACACGCGAGGTGGTTTGGGGCGCCTCGGGACTTGGAAGTATCGGATGCGACGCCGCGTATAGGCTTGGAGATCTCGAACGTAGTTCGAACCTGAAATGTCGGGCCGAGCTTGGAATTCCGAAACTCAGGGCTGTACTCGATGTTAGCGAGGCCCGATAAGGAAAAGGGATTTTCCTTACACCTTCCCCCCTCTTAGACGAGACTACCCACACCTGCGGCAGCCCGATTGTGTAAATAGGGCTGCACCAATAGGTGGTTGTCGAGGATAGTGGTTGGGACCCACATGTTATCGTTGCACGTACGGTCAACCCATCGAACCAGAAATTCCCAAACCCGTAGACCTTGGTCGCGGCAGATTCGGTGGGAGAGGAACTGTTGTGTTCGGTGGTTGGCTCGAGGACGAGCCTGATCGAAGGATAGAGTCGTTGACGGTCGAGATCAGCCGTGTTTGTGACGAACTGTTGTAGGAGGCTGACGTGGAATGAATCGTGGATACTGTATGCCAGTCGTCCGGTAACAATAGCTTGGCAGTGACAGGTGTCACAATTCAAATAATTCGAAAGGGCCAACAGAATCTCAGGCGATGTTTATCTGGTAAACTCAGCCCTAAATTCTTGGTGTCTAGAAGGACTACATCACAATAATTATCTGTCATAAATCTGGCCCACAAGTGTCCTAATGACACCTTTATGTTAGAATACTAGAATAATTAGAAAGGGGAGAGAACAAGGGAGATATAGGGTTTGAGTTGTACTCTCTAAGAACACACACCTATTCTAGCCTATAACTTCTACACGCAGATGTATGTATAAGTTGACACACCCCCTAGGCTAGATAAGGGGTAGTGCTGAGCAAGAAGCACACAGCTCAGGTGGCACTTCTAGTCAAACCTCTGAGATAGGGGTCCAAAGACCAGACAGCAAGAGAACAAACAAGACAAAAGCAAACCAGGGCGGCACTACTACTCCGGCCACTAGAAGAGAAGCCACAAGGCCAGTCTGAAAGATATATAAAAAGAGGAGTACACAATCAAGGTCCTAGCAAGTGAGAGTCTATAGGAACTAGACCAAGCTATAAACAGTGCCGCTGATGATCTCTAGGCGCAAGCGCCTTCGTAAAGATATCAGCTGTGTTGGCACCGGAGGCCAAGTGTACTACGCGGGCCTGGCGACGCTGCTGTAGCTCGCGCAGAAGGAAGTACTGCAGCAGGATGTGCTTCACCCTGCCCTCAAGTCGAGGCCCCTGACACAGGAGGACCATTGCCATGTTGTCAGCGTACAGAACCGGGACAGAGCTAGGCCGCTCACCTAAGTCGGTGAGCAAGAAGGTCAGCTAGCGGAGCTCCTGTACCGCCATTGTCACAGGATCGAATGTGTCGAGGAAAGGTTTGCTCAATGTTGCACTATCAATCAGTACAATGTGCTTTTATACTTCCAGATTACATCAGGTAACCAGGTTTATCCTATCCAAAGGGAATAGACCCTTCTAGAAATAGAATCACCTTGCGTATAGCCACGCAAGGCTATTGGCTTTAAGGGATTACGGCAGGATTACGCTAGATATAGCGCGCCAGTACATCCCGAGCCTGGTCGGTGATATAATTATAATAACAGGATAAACCAAAGGATGATGGAAAAGGAGGAATAGGAAACCAAATGAGATGAGATAAAGACCAAATGAATGAAGATAAAAAGAGGAATGAAATAGAAAGGAAATATGGAAAGGGGAAATTGGTGTAATGGGGTCGTACTCTCACACTTCCCCCCCTCAAAGCTGGGTGGTAGAAGTAACACCCTGCTTGACAAGGTAGTCGCGAAGAGGACGACGGGCGTTACCCATGTCGAGGTCAGAGAGGCAGCGTCAGAAGGATCAAAATCCTTCCAGCAAGAAGAAGCTCCAGAGTGCCATTTTGACGACGACGGTGTCCAAGCACGTAGTTGTCCCATGTCGTGGATGAACACGGGCGGCGGCGTTGGCTGGCATTTGGTGTAGAGCATGTTTGGTCTTGATAGGGTTTAAGAAGCTGGTATGGAAGGCGGTATGGATCTTCAAAGTGGCTGGGAGGCGGAAGCGGAAGGTGAATGAAGTGACCTTTGCTTCAAAGAGGATAGTCCCGCAGAAGCAAGGTTGAAGCTTGGATGGAAGTTGGCTGATGTCGAGATTATGGTCTCGAGAAGGGTAGTGATGAGTTGCCAAGTGCTTGTGCTGATGTTGGATGTCCAAGAGGGCGCTTGTGTGGTCGATGTACAAGATGGTGGACGATGGCGATGAAATCGGAAGCCAGTTGGACTGTGGCTGGTATGGTTAGCTGTTGTGGTGTGATCGGGTGGCGTCCGTAACAGACGAAGTACAGCGTCTGTCCAGTAGCGGCGTCAGGAGCATACTTGTAGGCAAACTCCAGGACGGGCAGATGCAAGTCGGAGTTGGAGATGTGAATGGTCGGAACAGTGTGCAGTAACGTGCAGATGAGTGGCTATGTTCTCCGATCCGTGCATGCTGTTACCCGCATCTGGTCCACGTGTGAAGATCACCAAGTGTTGGTGGTATGGCAGTTGTGTCGTAGTACTGCTTCCGTAGCAGTGTTGTATCCGTTACATGCAACTTCTGTCGAATGATGGTCCATGCCGTAGTGTTGTCGCGAGTCGTACCCACTGGGCATCGTAGTGCTGCGGAATGGAGAGCAGAATCACTAGTAGTAACCCTGTCCACCACGCGGTCTGCTAGTCACACTGCCTCGAGTACAACATCGGATGCGAAGTGCTGCTCAGCATATCCCTTATGTTCAGAACCATGCGAGGGGTTGGTACCATGAACGCGGAGCTGGTAACTTCCAGAATCGGCGGCAAGTAGTTTCCCTCGGTGGTTGCTCAAGCAAGGAATCTCAGCTGCGTAGATATCCCATGGTGATGGGTTAGGATATCTGGGAACGTTACGGGTATTCCCAAGTAATCCTCTCCTGTTTCCAAATGAGCATTGCTGATAGCCAATCCAGTATGACCTTATGCACGTCCAGTTTAGCACGGAGGCCATCGGTAGGCATCGGTGTCTGCGCACATATTGGGATAGGTCTTCTGGTGCCATCATGTGTTGTCTCATTCTGTTACTGTCCTTGAAGTAACGTTGATGTCGAAGAAGTCTCAGCTACTCAGCATCAGTGTTGAAGTCTGCTCCATTTCGGCAAATAGGGGTGTTGTTGGAGATACGCGGAGTCCACTATCCGGAGTGGCGTCGGCGCTCCATTCCACGCCTATCTGCTTCCGTGGAGTTGGTGCTGGTGATGGATTGGTTGCGACGCATGTTTTATGACTTTAAGGAAAAGCCATAGGCCATGAGGACTGTATACCGGTAGAGTACCGTAGTCCTCCCATCCTCATAAGAGCAAATATCTTCTGCTCTTGAGAGTATATGGCATTGCCATGTTGTTTCCTCGCATAGTGGTATCTCCTTCCCACTAGTTGGAAATCATAGTACTGTGCCTGGCCGGGACTTCATCATCATACTGGAATATAATCCAGTGTTATCTCCATTGAGTGGAGAATCATCCATCAGGGTTTGGTTGTGACTGTTGTGTCGAGTCTTCTGCTGCGGCGGCGGCGGCGGTTGCGACGACGGCGACGGCGGCAGCTGCTGCAGAGAATTCTCTCAACTCGTACCAGTTGAAGGAGAATCCATCAACTCCCTCTTCCCAGTAGAGTGTTCCTCATGGGTGTAACAGGCGTAACTACCAGGAACACGTGCACATTAGTACACATGTGTTGCTCCATTGCTGCCGGTGATTGTTTCATTTGAGGGTGTGAAGAGAAATTTGCTTCTCCCCTCAATGTATCAACGGGTAGCAATTCCTGGTATGCTCATCCGTGCCTCCGATGTACGGTCGGTAGAGCGCGTGATCATGTTGTAGTAGTCCGCATCTCCCTCATTTGTTGACACCTCGTGTTGCTTGACGTTCTCCTGCATCGTCGAAGTTACGTTGATGCTTGTAACGCTTTGGCTTCTGGTAGAATCGCCTCCAATGCATGTGCCGTAGGGTCGCTAGTGAACGAGTACTTGCCGGATTAGAGGTTAATTACTCCTCAATCTGTCAAGCATCGTGACGTGCACGGAATTTTCTTCCACGCAGGTCATTAACACCTGGAATCGCGACGCATGATTGGTGTGTCGCCTCGTGAGGTCGATGTTGAGACTGCTCCAATCAATCACCTCGGATGGCTGAGATTCTTGATGAAGACGAATCGGTCAGCTCCTGTTACAAAGTAGTGTCTCGCTGGCCTTGACGAGACGGGTTCACTGCGTCGTCGTTGCGTGCGAAATCTGCTCCTTCGCAGCAACTTGAACTTGGGAGCATTGCAAGAGAGAACGGCTACTTCTCTGCAATCCCATAGGTTGTCGATCAATTTGTATGAAGAAGTGTCTCGTGGATGGAGAACATGTCTTCACGCAGCTCCATTGTTTTTCCTGGGTGAAGATTCCGTCGTCTTGATGTCGATCCATTTTTAACGAAGATGACTTCGTCAAAATAAATAGATCGTTATCGACACTAGTTAGAAGATGCGTCGATTGTGCAGTCGCTGGTCACGAATGTTGTCTCCATGGTGATGATTTCCCATAAGTGTAGTCTCTACTGCATTCGTGCCGTTGATTCTGCAACGATCCGACGATCCACATTCTCCCGTCAGTTTTCTGCATGCAGATATTACCAAGTAGGTAATACTCTGGCAGATTTCTGACTCTGCAGATGATTTGCGCAC